AAAAGAAGATAAAGTACAGGGCTTAGCACACTGCCCTGTGGTACCCCGCATTCTATATTTCTGATGCTCGAAGTCACATCTTTAATTTTGATTCTAAATTTTCTATTAAGCAAATATGAGCTTAAGATATTGAAGTAGTTTGGAAAAGTTGTTTTGATTTTATATAGGAGTCCTGAGTGCCAAACCTTATCGAAAGCCTGACTGACATCTAAGAATACGGCTACACTGTGTTCCTTTCTATTCATGGCTTCAAGAATACGAGACACCGTTCTGTTGCATTGTTGAATTGTAGAGTGATTTTTTCTGAAGCCAAACTGATGGTGAGGAATCCAACTATCATTCGGATGATCTTCTGATAATCTCTGCAACAAAAGTCTCTCTAAAATTTTCGATAATATCGATAAAAGACTGATAGGACGGTATGAACTAGCAGGTGATGGTTTTTGTTTGGTTTAGCGATCATAATAATTTCTGCAGTCTTCCACGCTGTGGGCCAATAATTGTATTGAAGTATGGCGTTGAAAATATTTGTTATATATAAGATACCTTTTGTAGGCAATTCTTTTAACATCTTTGGAGTAATTTTATCCATACCTGGCGAAGATCTATTTTTTATCCTTTTTATTTCACATAAGACATCATTTGGTGAAAAATGTCCTAACGGTGTAGAATGTATGGGTTGATTTACGAAATTGTTAATTAAATTATTCTGGGAAATATTTCGAGCGCTAAAAATGCTACTTAGATGATCAGCAAATGCCTCCGCTTTTTCTTCGTTGCTTTTTGCCCAAATGAATCCGTTTTGGTTGGTTATTTTCAGAGGAGGGTTTTGTTGTAGGGGTTTTCTTTTGTTTCTGATTGGTTTCCATATGGAATTATCGTACCTATTTAACTGCAATATATACGACCTGAATGTACAATTCTTCCATTCTTTCATTTTTTTCCTCAGCGTGTTATTGAGATGATTAAGCGATGTCTTATCCGTTGGTAGATGAGAATGTTGCCAGGTTCGTCTTGCTCTTCGTTTCTGTGCAATTAGCTTCTTAATTTCTTGCGGAATTATTAGATTATCATTTCTTGGATTAATGTTCGGGGTGATCTGCTTGGTTGTCTCACGTACAATCTCAGAAAAATAATCTATATTATTTTCTATATCAATAACGCTTGTAGGCCTAGATTTTGGAAATAATTTGAATCAAGTATGGATTTGAATTGAATCCAGTTAGAAAGATTGTTGTGTAGAATATGATTGTTGATAACTGGAGCAGGAAATGTGCTAAACGTCACAAGTATTGGAGAATGATCTGAAGAGAGATCGTAACTAGATTCAATATTGAAATTTGAAAGATCAATACCTTTCACAATAAAAAAATCTAAAAGGTCTGGAACTTTAGTAGGGTCAGAAGGCCAATAAGTTGGACTGCAAGTTGAAATAAAGGAGAGGTTATTTTGCCCTATGGCTGCATGAAGAATCTTTCCTTGGCTGTAGTCAGTCTAGAACCCCAGGCAATATGTTTACAATTAAAGTCACCACCAATGATAAATTTATTACCTAATTGAGAGAAAAATGAAGAAAACTGAGCACAAGAAATTTTGAATCTTGGTGGACAATAAACAGCAGAAACACAAAAATTATATAAATTTGTTTCAACAGAAATTTGAGTTGCTTGTAGAAAATCATCAGAAATATTTGGTAGAACAAAATGCTTTATATTATTTTTGATTAATATAGCCGAACCGCCGCGAGCCCTGCCACTTGGGTGATTTGAATTATAAGTAGTGTAGTTATAAATTTTGAAGTAATTTTAGAAAATATAAAATGAGCCCAATAATTACTTGCTCCATTACATACGTAGGGTAGGGCAGGAAAACAAAGGTCCAATTTCACTTTGAGCAATTATATTGTGAAAAGAGAAGACCAGATCAATAATATCACAACAAATAACAAATATCAAACTAACAAATATCTGACTATATTCAGGAAAACTTCAGCTAAATCATCATTGTAGCAATGTGTTTTTCTGTTTTTTTTTTCAAAAATTTGTCACATTGTTCGTTTTTCCTATAGACGGGGTAAAATGAAAAAAACCAAAAATAACATGCATCTTATAAAATAATTAGATAAAGTAGTACTCACAAACAAACAAAAAACTTACAACAAAAGTAAATACTTTAGTTAAGAATTTTCAAACATTAGCGTTTATCTCCTGATAGCAAACGTCGTAAGATTCAAGTTGATGGCTGGTTATACATTTTATTTCCTCTACTTTCTAATAATGTTTTTAAAAACTTCTTAACTTTACTTGTTTTTGTGACATTGGTGGTGGACCTATTTACCCGCAAACCTTTGAGCCTCGCTCTACCCTATATAAACCTACATTATATTCAAAATCGGCAGCTATTTCATATCATACAAATTGATGTTAAAATTAAAACATCAATTAATAAATAGAGAATTCTGATTGAGAACGATATTCAGGATTTGACACAGTGTATCATATAATAGGAATAAGTAATTAAGGAAATAGACTTCATAAAAAGTATAAACTTTCTTCAGAATGTTTTCAATGAACTATGTATAATTTATAATATTAATTGAATAATTAAATAAATAAATGTTACAATTATAACATTAATTATACTTGATGGATCATAGACAATTGCTGTACATTTTTTATAGCACCTACTTGATAAATTTAACAGTATAAGACTCGTTGCCTTATCGCGTATTTATTTATTAAATAATTGTTGGGTACATACTGGTCTAAGATAGTTGACAACGTAGAATATAGATTTCACCATTACAACGGTACAAATGGAGAACAAATAGACTTCGATCGTAATGACGTATGTTGCAGCATATGATATATTATTTTGTGGCATATCAGAATAATAATTCTCTACTAATAAAAACCTTGGCGCAGTATATTTTATGGCTTATATATTCGATAATAAGAGATTTCTTAATTACGATAGAAAGAAATATACTGATTTCTGGTATGTATAGGTATATAAAGTATATAAAGTAGATATATAAAGATTCTAGTATATAAAATAGGTAAACTATAACAGCAATCGCGTAAAAATCTAAAATGAAAATGTTTGTATATCTTTACGTTTCAAAGATTTCTGAACAGTTTGGCATAACTTAAAAAAATGATGCATGTGTGTGTTTGGCGTGCGTGCGTATGTGTGTGCGGATACAAATTTTCGTCCATGATTTCGAGAATCCACCGATTGATGGAAAGACGTACCAATTAGTTTTCGGTAAAAGAAGAACCAATGGCTAAAAAAATTCCAAAAATGACAATTTACAGAGTAGTTCCAAAAATTTGCCTTGATTAAATCTCTAGTTTTAATAATCAAATTACATGTTCAGAATTACAAACTGACTGGCAACAAATGTGCGTTCTCCGGAAAACCAATATGTTGGCTTGTAAACATCATTGCATGTAAAAATCGCGACTTTTTTAACTACATTCACAAGCAGCATGTGTATAATTATTCAAAACAAGTAAAACTTGTTTAGTCTAATTGTACGATACATTGCAGTCCATTTTCATAACCATAAATATGTGAATTTTTTAATGAAATTGATTTGTGTAAGAGAGAAGGTTTATGTAATTTATATTTATTAACAAAGTCTAGTAATCGGGCATAACATCAATAAAATACATGAATTTCTTTCATTTTTTTTTAAATCCATACGTTTCGGCTATAATCCTAGCCTTCATTCAGTGGAAAAATTAGTTAAGCTTAGTGTTAAATTGGACGATTTTAATAATCCATGGTATCATGATATAGTAATGCACTACGCACTATGTTTTATAAATATTAAACTTGTAATTACACAATATTTAGACAAAATACTAATTTAAAAAATCACAAATGGATAGTGTGTTGTTCGTAGACTGGTAGAAGATATAAACAACGAATAACACACTAACCATTTGTGATTTTTTAAATTAGTATTTTGTGGAAATATTGTGTAATTACAAGTTTAATATTTATAATACATATCCTGATACCATGGATTATTAAAATCTTCCAATTTAACACCAAGCTTAACTAATTTTTCCACAGAATAAAGGCTAGGATTATAGCCGAAGCGTATGGATTTTACATAAATTTTTGAAAGAAATTCATGTTTTTTATTGATGTTATGCCCAATTACTAGACTTTGTTAATACATATGTCAACATCAAATTCAGAATCATAGAAAATAATTTATATTGTACTTAACTATTTTCGACTACAATTGCTAACTAATAAAAATAGCAATACATCTTGTAAAACAATTAAATAACGTATACTTAACATTTATATTCAGACATTAAACTAAATGTAAGAGCTCAACACCAAAAAAACTACAAACGAATAAATACTTTTGTTATGAATATTAATACATAGCCATTTATCTCCTGATGGGGACGTCGTAAGAATTATGGTAAGAGACAGTTACACAACTTTTGCCTTCTACTTTAAAATAGTATCATTAAAAAATTATATACCTTTCCTTACTTGTTTTTGAGATAATAGTGGTAGACTTTCGTACCCGCGGACCTTTAAGACACTCTTTACCCTGGTTTGTCAATAAATAATACTCTTGAATATTTTCTATGAATAACGCTTATAAAGAATTCTAATTTATAATAGTATTGTTCTTTAATATAATAGTATAATTCTATACTTCACTTGTTTTTGAGATAAAAGTGGTAGACTTTCGTACCCGCGGACCTTTAAGACACTCTTCACCCTGGTTTGTCAATAAATAATACTCTTGAATATTTTCTATGAAGAACCCTTATAAAGAAGTTACGCGATTTTAAACGCGAAACTATGTTGAAATTATAACTGATGATACATGATAATTTGTCATAGTTATAAGCTTTACATATGAAGCGAGTTGGAAAACTTTTAACAAGCACTTTTTCTCTTGTATAATAAGAAGTATAGTCATGGCCCATATTGATATAATAATATAATCAATGTCTACTCACAAAATCCTTGTCTGACTATTCCCGTTGACAGTTCAATAGTTCTAAGTGCAGGAGCAGGATCCGCTACCATGCGGATACTGGTGTGAGCGGCTGCACTGTTATTCAAAACAACCGAATTATTTCCCGTCAGTTGTGGTGGCGGCGGCGTGGGCGCATTCTTCACGTGCAGCGGCAGATCAGGCAATCTGTTCTGCTCCGTCCTATTGTTTCCAGGATTCACTTGCACACTTTCAGTATTTAATACTGCAGGAGATTCCGTATCATTATTGACAACTGTCGGCAATTTGTGATTTTCGACGTCCGCTGTCTCGTCGTCGAATTTGACCCATGTCGACGGTCTCGCTTTGGCCGCCGTCGCGTCGACGGCGTCCGTCGATGGTTTCGTCGTGTCACCTTCCGACATTTCCGACACCGCACATATGTGTAAGCACTAAGTTTTCACTAGAATGGATTATAAAACACACAACACCGTTGCAACAACCGCTCACGACGTGGCTTTTCGAATAGCTTTCCCGAGCGCACGCGATACGTGTGATCACAGGTAGGTGCACGAATTGACTGACTTCACTGAATGCCGCGAATGCGAGCGCAGTAGGTCGCATGATTGTTTCGAGCCTCGCTTCTGCTCGCCACGCCGCGAACGTGGTAAAGGTGGGAGCACGTCTGCACTGGCCTCATCGACATTGAATAATCAAATTTGTAACGAAATTGTATTTTACGAAATTTCTTTTCGTACTTAAAATACTTTATGTCCTGTTGCATTGTATGAAAAAAATTTGGAAGCACAAAATTATTATTAAAACAGATACATGAAGAACAAAAATGTCTATACACTTTGACGTTAAACTTTTTTCATATAAATTGATTATACTTGTACTACTTACAATTAGCTAAAAATAACACTAGGAGATCGTTCAAGTATTACGTAAGCAGATTTATTACAATAATTTACCCCCCCATCCCCCTTGTCAGCAAAAGTAAGCAAAGCTCTTACCCCCTACCCCCATGCTTAAGTAAACATTTTGCAATTAATGTAAAAAAATAAAAATACTATCTATGACGTAATCATCATCCAGACTCCCCTGCCCCCCATGTCAACCCAAAATAAGCATATCAACAACCCCCCCGCCTCCCTATAGTGCTTACGTAATACTTGAACGGCCCCTAGTCCATAAAAAGTCGACTGTATTGGGTTGCAGTATATGTTTTGCAATGTAGTTTTTAACACTGAACACAAATCTAGAGTTAAAATTGTGGGTTAAATGGCAAAAAAATTATAAATTCAAATAAAAAGACAACAAATTCTTCGATCTAGTAATTCTGCTGCTAGTAATACTTAAAATCTAGTAATACTTAAAATCTTATAATTTCTGTCGTTTCCTGGGCCATTTTACCTTGAATGGCCATTGAGTTGCATTTAAATGATCCATTGACTTTTTTTTCGTAGAGTACAGCAGTAATTTGCTAACACATTTCCAGATATTCAATTGCAAACATGTTTGCAAATTACCCAGGGCAATGAGTACACATTTTTACAAAAAAGCTCAAAATATCATTTTACTGAAATTCGTCAATAGTCATTTAAGGTAAAAAAAGGCCAGGAAACGACAGAACTTATAAAATTTTAATTATCATGTAGAAGAATTATTAAATCGGTGATTTAGTCGTTTTTTTGTTTTTCTCCAATTTTTTGTAGTTTGGCTCCCAATTTTGGCCTTAGATTCGTGTTCTGCCGTACTATCATTGAGAAACCCATTGAGTGCTTGATATGTGCATATAAAGTCATGCGATTGTTTATAGTGATAGTGATACGAACTAATAATTAATAAAATATAAGTTTAAAAGCATTTATAAGGCTGACTCACTCACACCATTTGGTACCATAATCGGTAAGGACGTAGACTAGCACAAACTAGTTTCGGGTTCGATCAGCCAAGCTCAACATCAGACAGCATGATGTCAAAATTTTACTTGAGATCATATATCTTAAATATATCTTCAATTCAAAAACGCCTTTCGTGGAAATAGCTGAAATGTTACAATTAGTAAGACAATCAAACCATGTAATTGCTTATTCATAAACAGATATAAATTATGGGGCTAATTCTCCGGTAAAACAGACCGCAACATAGGTTTTATATCTGAAACGACTGACTGATAAATGTCATCTCTGATATGGGGAAATATCAAGTACTACTAATTTTTCGCCTCCAATTTTTCAAAATTGCATTACCTTGCTCCTAAACCAGGTTTTAAGCATGAAAAATACCAAACAAATCTTTATTGAATCATCAAAATCCAATCAACCGGCTTCCTAAACACATGTATTTAGTATTGATAATGATTTAAATAAGAAACTAGCTGTAAGTGGAATTCTGTCTTAAGGCAATTATGGCATCGTGCCCTAAGGCAAATTGCTGGAACTTCCCGTACCGTAACGTAAATGTTCGAGGAATACTGAATGTTTTCAAATAGATTAAATATTGTAACATTGTCTAATATTTATAATAATTATATAAACTGAATTGCAGAGTTGAAATTATTTGTAAAGTATATTAGAACTATAGCCAGAATTAAAAATAAAATCTGAAATATTTTCGATATACAAAAAAAAAAAAAAAGTTGGAACAAAATTTTTTTTCCAAAATCAATTATTTTGTTAAGACAAGCAGAAAGTTCTTTGAATCATTTAAATCGGACGTTTAGTTCTCTCAAAAACTGCCATTTTTTACATATTTAGCTCCGTATCTTCGAAATAGCTGAACCTGCCTTTGCCTAAAACTAATAAACACTTCTCCCAAACATTACTAATTGAATGTTTTTTAGATCATTCAAATCGGATACTCCGTTCTCTCAAAAATTCGATTTCTATTTTCTGCACTCTTTGCTCCGTATCTCCGAAACGGCTGGACATGCCTTTGCCAAAAACTAATCAGCTCTTTTCCCTATCAATAGGAATCGAATGTTTTTTGAACCATTCAAATCGGTTAATCCGTGCGCCCTAAAACGTGACTGAAAATTTGTATCCAACATACATACACACACACACACATCCATTTTTTCTGAGGTATGCCAAAACGTTCAGAAACCATCAAAACGTCGAGAAATGTAAAAATATTTTCAATTCCGTTTTTCGGCCCATTACAATAACTTACCCTACGGGAAGTTAAAAATACATTCGGTTCGCGAATAAATCTAATGGAACATTTTCATTAAAATAAATAGTTTTTAACTTATCTATGGTTTTTAATATGGCGTTTTCGCGCAACATGCTATTTTTATGAATTAAATTAAAATGGACTAGGTAAATTAGTACACATTTAAGTGGTTCAATTATCCAAATAAAATTACAGTTTTATAAATGAAATTCAAACGTTTGCGCAGATTTTATTATCAATTTATTTGAAGAAATGACCGTAACATAGAATTGCCATAACAACGCCATGTTACGGTCTATTTTGTTGGAGAATTGGCTCCTATATCTCAGTTAGTTAAGCAATTGAAAGACTCATTTCTGTAGTGTCTTAACTCTTAAACTTAGAATCAAGCAGCTTTCAAAACAGCTCATAGAACAGCTAATAGTTGGGATTGTTGTTAAATAAGAAAAAACTTACCATTTAACTATTCGTGTATATATTTTACTTTCCTTATATGTATTATATTTCCTTACAGCCATGCATCACTACTTTGTTGCAATATTAATGATACCTCTATTGATTTCATGAGTGTGGATGCAGTCTTAGGAAAAGCACATACGCGTTGTTTCCAGCGCTTGATCGTACACCGGCTAGACTCCGACACTCCGGCCGTGTGCCGCTCCCCGCCAACTCGCACAACCTGTCGCCCGTCCGTGTGTGTGTTAAGCGGATTCCGAGCGTACCTGTCCGCGACGACGTGACTGCTACTCTCGATGATTCTGTTGCCTTCTTATGAATTACTCTTCATATGATTCATATTGGATGATACGAACGAATGTGACATGAGAATCTTGTAATTTCGATCGATGGGTATCCGAAGATAAGTGAACCGATTGAACAATATATCAAATTTCAAAAGATATAAATTAACGGCATAAAATATAAAATAAAAGCAGGGTTTAAATAAATTCCTTATAAATAAATATTAGATGAACTAATTGCTCAAACTAATTGTCAATGACTTAATAGCTAAGAACGTCAGCTTGGACAAACTTATATTATATCCCGGGTTCAATACCAATCTCGACCTGCTCGATTTCAAGCAGTATGATAACAAGATTCCGACAAGGCGACACTATTATACTTATATAATACTAGCAAACCCGACGAACTCCGTTTCGCCACCAGATGGTTTCGTGAGAAAGATGAAGAAATTTTTTGTTTGTTCTATATTTGAAAAGGAAAAATTTGATTTTATTATACAACAGTAATGAATTTATTTCGATTACAAAAAATGAAGTGTTTTTTAGTTGAACTTCTCTAAGTAAATGAAAGTGAATCCGCAAATTATCCGTTTCATTGAAATGCACTTTGGTAAACCACATTTTTTGTTTTTTGGTCTGACGTTAACACAAACAAAGCGGATGGTTTTCCAACTCGTGAACAGGCAACGTATAACTGCCCATGTGAAAAACAATGATTTTCTAAATAATCTATTTGAAATTTATCCCGCAAACACTAAGCGATTGGCCTTGCGACTTGTTAATTGTCATTGCGAACTGGAAATCGCAATCGTTTGAAGTCAAACGGAAGACCAGTCGGAATCATTGGTATGTCACCAAATAGCCAGCAATTTTTGATTGAATGGTGAAATTCAGTGCGTGTACATCATTATTCTTTGCGGCAAGAATTGCTCGTTGACTTAACCAAGCATAATTCTGATAATTCTCACAAATGTCATTACTCCGTGAAGTTCCAGCAGCTTGCATTAAGGCACGATGCCATGCACAACTAATTTTTTTTTAGCTATAAACCTTGCGGAGCCCGAGATCTTTCCAACGAATTCAAAATTGTCGAAAACGGTTCGTTCGTTCTGTAGTTATTTCGTCAGGAAGGAAAACCCGACTAATTTTTATATATATATATATATATATATATATTTCAAAGTAACTAGCAGCCCATTCGTCGAAATAAAAAAGGTATAAAGTATAAAAACTTTTATTTATACGTTTCGACACAAGATGCGTGTCATCATTCAGCAACACAGGACAAAAACACTCAACAAAAATTTATTTTAAAAAATTAAACTTAATAACATATTAGAGAAAAACATTTTTTTAGAAAAAATTATGAATAACTAAAAGATTTGAAAACTAATTTGACTAAAAGTTATGAAATACATAATTGTGAAGCGAGAAACACGCCCGTACCGAGCATCCAGACTCGACTCAATCCAGAGTTATTCATAATTTTTTCTAAAAAAATG